ACATTTGGGCAAGAAAGGATTACCAACTCTACAGCCCTCGACTAGCATCAACTAGCTCAAAATGTTTGGTTTTCGTTCTCTGTCCATTATTCAGGTACACCCTTAAAACACCGAGCATCTAGAAACATAATTTCAACTTGGGACATGCATTATTTTCAATGATAATTTGATCCTTTATACGAATGCTAATTTTTAGATTATAATGTACTCAGGCAATCGAGGCACTCGATCCAAATCATGAGTGCACGGAGTATTGGAAAAAACAAGCTCCTGAACAAGAAATCGATGTCAAGTTCAGAAGATAAATTAGAGGCTAATCAGAAGAGGTTAAAGGAACGCAAGAATGAAAGGTTACAACGATTTTAGAATGCGAAAAGATTTTCTTTTTAAGAACTTTTTTAGGTGCTGAAGCTTTGGTATATTAGACTTTGTTTTTTAGAGCAGATGTTAGATAGGGAAATTTTAGAGCAGATGTTAGTGGTTTTTTTTTTGAATAGGCCTTCATTTGAAAGATCATATTCTTGCACAAACTCTAACTGTAATCAGTGNGGTTTACATAAGAGTCTGAGTTCATATTCTCTTGCACTTTAGTTTCTGTATCTTGTCTCTGTGTGTATATTGTTCTGTTCATTTTGGAAATACGCAAATATAGGAACTGATTTTTTTGCTCATTTTGTTAATGTTTTTTTTTATTTTTATAATGCAAATGCATTCAACAGATAAAATACTTATCAATACCAATAAGAATTTTCCTTAAATTGAAACCAAGAATTGTCAACTTCTACCCATAACAAAACAACACAATGCTCAACTCAGAATAAAAGTACAAAAAAAAAGCTAAACTTTGAATTGAAGCGGAGCAAGAAACAGGTTTCTTGAGAAGAAACATGTTTGAACCTGTTTGATGCTCAAGAAACACGTTTCTTGACTTCTTTCTCAAGAAACAGGTTTCTTGAACAAGAAACATGTTTCTTGATCAAGAAAATGGGTTTCTTGAACAAGAAACAGGTTTCTTGAACAAGAAACAGGTTTCTTGATCAAGAAACCTGTTTCTGCTCAAGAAAGGTCTAAACCATCTATGGTCTAGTGTGTAAATAATTTTGGTAGAGATAAGGGTCTAAACCATATATGGTCTAGTGTGTAAATTTGCACTAATACATATATGGTTTAAACCATATATGGTCTAGTGTGTAAATAATCTGGCGCTGCGCTACAGTGCAGATTTATTTATTTATTTAAAAATAAAAAAAATG